GTGAGGCAGACAGGATTTTATCAACATCAGCTATTTTGGGGAGAATAATTTAGTATCTTGGGGGGTGTGACTCACAATTCTTGACAGAGAGCTGTGATTTTTATATATAATGCTTATCATCCTGCAGCAGCAATCAAGTCAGAACAATGTTATTTTCCAACAAAACTCAGCTTCATCTCAGAAGTGTAATGGTTAATCTCTTCCCTATAGCAGGTTTCATCCACTATTAATGAGATTAAGGATCTTGTTTCTGTAGGTTGTAACAGACAAGACTTAATTTATTATCACTCTGAACTAGTAACCTAAAACTGAGCATCCATAGACTACTCTTATTTAGTAATTTCTCTATGCACCTCTGGAAGGCTGGATAGTACTGAAAACTGTTCCATCTGTATAAAAAAAAATAAAAATAAAATCACAGTATGATCTGTGACTCATCATAACAGCAGCAATTATTTTTAGGGATTTTCCTTCTATTTCCAGATTTTAGGAGAAGTTGCTTGATGGGCAAGGAACGTAAGTCTGTCAGTGAGATCTAGGCAAGAAACAAACATGAAATCCAGCTATCTTCTGGAAACGCTGCAGCATCAGTTGAAAAAACAGGAGGAAGAGCCAATGTTTTTCCATTCTTATCATCACAATTACTATGTGTGTTTTAAGACTATTTTTAATGAAGCTCATTTTTTACCACTGTAGTTTTTGATTACTTCTGTTATCTAATTGAATTAGGAGGTAAAGAACAATCTTACACAGTTATCACTGTAAGGGCCATCATCAATTAAAATACCAAGAGCTATGCTGCCAAGGCTGACAACTCATGTTCCTAATGCAAAGCAGATGCTGTTCTGCACTGTTCAATGTCATCACACCAGTGTGCTCGCTGAGCAAACTCGACCTGAACTGGGCAAGGCACGGCCCAAAACTTTTTCCCCACTGATAATGCATTACCACTGCTGCACATCACACACAGTTCTTCCCCCGCAGCCCCTGGACTATTTTGGTCTGGAAATCAACGTTTCTATGACACAGTTCACAGCTGCAATAACTATACTCTCACCAAATACACCACTTTTTGCTTGTACCAGGTTCTTTGTTCTTGCTTAGACTGAGGGACTCCCATACAGAAGAGCAATGGATTGTTTCCTTTTTCTTCTAGGCTAGACATTCTACATTCAAGTAAGTTCTTTTTCCTTAGGCTATTCTTACAGTCAAAAGCTACAGACTCAAAACATGGATAAAAGATTGCCTTCAGCTATGACTTGAGGTCCTGGCAATCGTACTTGCAACATGCTAAACAACACTTCCAGCTTTGTCAAGTTCCTTTGTCTCCTTCCCTGTCTTTATACTTGTATCTCAAACTAAAATCCAGATTGTCCTCAATAGTGATTTTGAAAATTCAAGAATGTTAGACCCCACAAGAGATTAAGGTACTCACCTGGGAGGAGGCATAGGTGGCTCTCAATCCAGTGGACATACGTCTACAGCAGAAGGCATGTACAGCAGTTCACTGAAGCCTGGCTCCCTCCCCAGGCAGTGCTTAAACTGCTCACTCCCATTAACCACAACAATCACAGTGGAGACTGCATGTAATACTATTTACTTTTCCAAAAGAAGCCATGTTCCAGGTTCCTCTTTGTTGTTAGAAAAACAACGTCAGTATACAAATACAGTACGACTAGCCTGCAAAAATGAGCCCCACTGGTATTTACTACTTCAGACATTGTTGGTTAAGCTGTAGAAATCACTTCTTTTAAGTCAGTGCCACAGTATCAAACAACACTAGGCCAAGAAATTCTCCTTTCTGATCCATGAAAATCAGCCTCCTTCATTGATTCTCCATGTAAAATTAATTTGCAGTTTTCATCTACTTACTATGAGACACACTAACTTTGCTTGTAAATTTATTTAAAGAGGACAGGTAAGGCAAAACATACAAATAGCCCCTTTGTTTTAGGAAATGTTGTTAGGAACACAGAATTAAATAACAAACAGTAGAAAAAACATTTAATGCAAAGTTAAATACAATACAAACTTTATTAAAAATAGGTTGCAAGTGAAATACAGTAGAAATGGGAAACTACAGCAGTTTTGATGTTTTTCATAATAATGCACAGACAAATATGAAAAGCACTTTTACACATATTCACACTTGACCCGAATGCCCAATAGCGGCCAAATCCACTCAACTGAAGGTTATAGGTATTTTTTTGCTAAGCCTTTTTTGGAATCCAGCAGCAACAGTAATTCAGCAACAGCATAAGTTTTTTTCCTTAAGGAAAGCTTGTCACTGTAAGGCTGCTAGTGTTCTCAAGATAAATTGGGAGAGGCTTGCTTTTCCTGATGAACAGACATAGCAAGCATGCAGATCCTTCATTAACACTTTGAACCAGTTTAATCTTCTACTTCATATTTAACAGGTGAAACGGTAAAAGCACACTTTCAAATAAGAAACCTGAAATACGTAAAAAATATTTACACTCCAATTTTCATTAACTTGCATTTATTTATCATACAACTCTTATTAAAAGTGATTTCTTTCCTAAGGCAGTGAAAGTCTACCCCTTTGTATCTGGAAGTGTGCACAATTCCCTAAATATATATTTATAAGAGAACAATATGATACAGGAAAAAAAATCATCTAAAGCCAGTAAAGGGCTTTGTCAAATAGAAAATTTATTTGGAATCACAATATATATTGTCTTAACATCACACAATGAGAAAAACTTCGATGAGGTCCTTATTCCCAACATCATCAGCCACATAAGCATAGCTGAAGAAATAGTGGGAGGAAAAAGATTAACAATTTAAAATTAAATAAGGCTATTACAGTGTGAAAAAATAGCTTGAACTGCCAAAAATGTTTTCAGTACAACAGTAACAGGATGTCAGTAAAGCCAGCTAGACTGAAAAAGAGCTCACTAGCACTGCTTCCTCGGCATAAGCAGTGATGGTTCCTTGCCAGCACACCAGCTCTGTTAATGACCTTACTAACATTCCCCCTCCCAAACTGCAGCACTCTATTTGATGCTTCATACTTCAGTCTTTTTCTCTAATATGCCAGTTCACATCTCCATAGAACAAAAAATCTATTGCTGAACTGGTAACAGACTTATCAATACGGTTCCATGCCTAATTACCTAATAACTTCTAAATCTGCCTTTGTCAGAAAACATATGTATCCGTTCTGCTCACCTTGAAACTGGAATCATTACTCCTCACCTTTAACATACTACCAGCATTTTGGTCCTAGCTGATGGAGGGCCACTAGTGTAGGCTACTATCTATTGCTTATGTAATTTTTAATGAAACAGTTAACCAAAGGTTTTTATCTTCCCATTTTTGAAAGTCTGAAGCACATATAGTGAGGATGCATCAATATACAGACTTTTCCATAACTACAGATAAACTCATAGGCAACCATTTTAGACCCAACAAATATGTAGGACTAGAATTGTTTTTATTCCAAGGTTCTACCTACAGAATGTGTGTTATTCCAGTACTAAGTAATGGTAAGATCTGTATTGATATGATCATTCTATAAACACCATACAGTATGTCAAACTTGCATATGAAATCTCAAAGGTGGCCCAAATATTGGCTTCTTATCAGACAACCTAAAATACTAATTTTCTAGTGCACAGCTTAGTTTAGGCAGTTCAAGCTACTCTCACTCTCTCTGCTCAGCAGCTAAAACAAAAGTGTGTCTGTAAAACACCAGGAAACAGAACTTGACAAGTGCTACTTGGTCTGGTGCACAAGAACTTAACCCCCAAAACAGAAAAGAAAAAGTTACCTTCACGTGATTCATATCTTTAAAATTTTACAGTGCTTTCATTGTATAAACCACAAGCTCCTGGCAAAGTAATCAGTTTTCTTGCTATTGCAACATCTCTAAATCTTAATTAACAGTCTTAGATATAGAGGAATCATAGTCACTCCTTTCAGAAAACATTCATTTTCTGTTCATTAGTAGTGTGCCCCCCATCTCAATCCCTCAATTTGGAGATCTTCCGTTACAGCTGATAAGGTGCTTTAATCTTATTTTGTATTCAACTCATTTTCCAGTTCCATTAGTTTCCTAGAAGCTTTTACTTTATTAGATACATCCTGACCCTGTGAAAAAAGTCGCTGGCGTTCCCTGAACGTCAAGTTTTCTGGTGCTCCAGGTAAATCTGCATCTTGACTGGAAGGGAAAAAAAAATACTTTTTAAAATTCTGATCTCCAATACCCTTAAACATAATAATTCTTAATTACATGTATTGACTGATAGCTTCTTTGACTACAGCAAGAGTCTCCACTCTGTATTCTGCAAGGTTTTGTTCCCCACACATACCTTTAATTGTGCTATCACTTAAGACAAATTTATAGCTTGTGACCATTTCTTGCATCTTAAAATGAATGGAAATGCCTGCCAATTTTCAAAGTGAAGGGCAGGTATAAACTAAGGTTCTGTCTATATTAGCACAGCATTGCTGCTCCGGCTAAATTAGCAAGCTTTTCTATGGTGGCATAGGTCTAAGAAAAAGCACTGGAAGACAAAGCATATCTTCAGTATGCTGTATGGTAAAGCTTGTATGAGACATATATACAGCTTGCATTATTGACACTTATTACAAGTTTGGTAAGAATCCCACTTGAGAGGTTCTGTTCAGAGTCATAAATACACATAAAACAGTTGCTGCTGTTAGTTTACGTAGATAATTTGGTTTAGTTAGTTGTAGTGTCAAAATTTGCTGCTGTTCAGCAGTGCTTCAGATCACCTGTGGAGAACTTAGCTGTGGTCTATAGTAACCCATGATAGAGCCAACTGCAGAACTAATGATTAGCCCACGGAGATACAACAACAGCAACAGAAAATACTGCAGAATTTAGCCAAGTCAGGTGTATACAAGTTCATGGAGTTCTGTATGTCACCTTTTAGATCTTTTGTCTCTTGGATCCCGATAACCTTCCCCAGCAGCTGCTCCTGTAGATCCAGTGTATGAATTTATTCCTTATGCAAAAGAAAAAGTACGTTGAAGGATTGCAGTTACAACACAGAAGTTTTATACTGCATTCTTCAAAAGGTGCAGTGCTTCTTTCAAGAAATAATCTCAAAATAGAATCAGAAATAAATTTAGAGGGTCATCTGACTTCTAGAGTATTTAAAACCAGTACTACCAAATTCCATCTCCCTCAAAACTGCTTAATTTTTTTATTCCTAATTTTAAGTCAGAACCCATTTTGTTTAGATTATCCAGCACACACCAAATCATGGTCTTTATCTTATTATGGCTTATCTGTAAGACAGACATTAGAAGTTGTTCAAGGAGATCGATGGAAAGAGCAACACACTTTGTTATCCTATGACAAGCTCCACAGGAAATAAGTTAGCTGCAGCTGCTCTCTTTCAAAAGCTGAAAGATTAGTATATATCATGTTTGCAGTTCAGTAGTCAGAATTTTATTTTCAGTTTAGTCTAAGTGAACTGTACTACTCAGAAGATGCCCCCTCTCCCCTGCACTTAAATTTCAAGCAACTATCTTGCAGCACTGCACCTTTAGGTTGATATAACACAACAGGTTTTATACATTTTATTAATTCTTTCTAAAGGCCACAAGACAAAACCTTTTATTTCCAATCAAAAATTTCAATTATTTAATTTATATTTAAGACCATATTCTCTTAATAACTGTCAAGAAAAGAGTAAAAATGAGTGTCAGCACACGACTCAGATTTGTCTTTAGATAGTTCTGGTCTCAATATTGTACATGTTATGTCTTGTGAACCTTCTCTGGTACAAAAGGAAATGTTTGCTTCTTCCACTGGTATATACAACTTCTCATAAATATTCAGAAGAGACATATGGTAGTGGAACACACAGGCAAATTTAGTTAGTGTTCTCTAGGCTAAATTTTTTCCACCAAAAATTTGTAGCGGATCAAATCACACTAGGTATGTCAGGCATATGAAGATCTTTTTTTTTGCTCTCAGACATGAGTCTTAAATCAATGTAAGTACTACCCTTCCCTGCTTTAGAAAGTCTGGATCCACATGCTGTGGTTCAGAGTTTCATTTGCATTAGGATAATAGTTTTCATCTGAGTGTTGGCTTTTTCCTTGATTAGTTAAGGGACCCAATGGTCTTAAGAAACCCAGTGGAAGAAGGCAAGAGAGCAAAATTTGCAGAAGCGTGGTTTACTAGAGTTAACACTCAGAACAGGAAAGAGCTGTAAAGGACAGGAATGTAACAGAGTCAGCAAGATGGGAGATGGTAAACTGCACAGTGAATTCTGCATTTTGTGCAAACGGCTTTGTACGTTACGCAGGCAGTCTTCATAGAAGCTTGAGCAATCAGGTGAAGTTAACCTGTTCTCATGGCTATTTTAAAAATTATGAAATAAGAGTATTCAGAATTAGTTGTATGGTTTATGAATTAGGCTATTAAAGGCGAAGCATCGTATTACAATATTCCTTAATTGTTACCAAAACCCTAACCAAATCTTTGTGGATTGTCCTTTCGATTGTTTTCCAGGAAAAACAAATGTGCACACACAATACCACTGAACATTTCACTTTCATGAGATTCATTTTTCAATTAAAATTAACAGAGAGCAGCATTGGGAAATGCAATTATATATGAAATGGTACTCTGGGTTGTGGATGATGGAAGGCAAGGAAAGTGGTGGTGACAGCTAGTGACTGATGGTTCTAGGGTTGCTTAATTCATTACATGTCTTCAAAGTGCCAAATAAGGAAGGGAAGCAAGGCCCTTTGGAAGCCTATGTGTTGTGATGGAAGGCACATTTTACTCTACTATAATTGTTTTCAAGTAAGAAGTTCTAACAAAAAGAAAGTCCTTTGAAAGAACAAAAATTCAGTACAGATATACAGGACCAAAGTTTCATGTCAGAAGCCCGCCATTTCAGAATATTCCTAAGAGCAAGTTGACAACACAGATAGCTATAGTGATTGAAGATAATTTTTTCCACTATTCCCTGTCTTTAATCTTATTTTAGCTCACTAATTCTCTGCGATATCCAGTGTTCCCTAGCTAGAGTCCTTCTGATAAAAAACTGGCTGTGGGTTTTTCAGTGGCTTCATGTGCAGGGTAGGTATAATGGAACTACTTGCATTATAATGGTAGCACACAGCAGGTAGTGTCCAGTGTGTCTGCTTATACTCCAGTCTAACAAAAACACACTGAAAAGCTAAAACCTTCCCTCATCTTCCTTTAAGATTTGGAACCTATGACAGAGCCAGACAGGAGTGACAGATGGGCTTGCAAGACCCATAGACATTACTACATCTTGAGATCTCAGAGGCAACACCAGGGTAAATAACAAGGCTTTTTTTTTCTACCTTTAAATGAGAATTAGTGTGGATACTTTTTTTTTTTACACAACTTGGGTGCTGTACTGACTCCAAATAGTGAAACTACTAAGCATCAAGTACCTCAGTGGGACAGTACTTTTAGGTGAGCTAAACTAATGACACTTCAGCAATACTAAAACTACACAATACTGTTCAGAGCTTCCCTTTGACACTTCCCTTTGGAAGCAGTCCAAATGTAGCAGAAGCCAATTTGCCCTGCAAAGGAAAGGATGTCTTGCTGGAAAATGATGACTTGAGCCTCAACTGAAAATGAGGCAGACAGGAAGCTCAGTGGCTTCATACATATCCTAAATCAGATTCATATACTACTGCAGCTGGATTAGAAGTGCTTCTGAGAGATGGAAGCAATTTGGAGGCTCATATTCTCCCTGTGACCAGGGCATACTTCTGAATAAAGTAAGTAAGTGATTTTCCTAATTCATCAGGTAGTCAAAAAAGTGATGAGGGATATAACCATATTGTAGGCTTCCACCTGTGTAACTGAGACTTGAATCCAGCAAAAAAGTTATCCATTCTGCTAGAAGCCAGCCTAAACATTTTCCCCTGTGATCTCACGTGACTTGGTACTCTTTTCATTTTAGAAAAATGACTTGTTCAGCTGGAGTTGGTTATCAGGCACTTGTTTACTTCCAGCATAAGTAAAAAGAATGAACTAGGGCAATAGAAGAAAATAAATGCAGGAAAAGCTGCCAGCAGATGCTGCTGTTTAAAGACAAAGTATTGTATCAATAAGCTGCAAGTTTATTAGAGTGAGATATACTCAAAGAGTTAAGTATATTAAGATTCCTCCTATACAGCAGCAGTTTAAAAAAATTTAGCATGGAACCTTGGACTGGATTAGCTTTGACTTCATCGGTGTAGCTAAACTAGTACTCTGCAGATAAAATATGGTGCTGAGCTACTAGCAACTAGAGCTCTTCTTGAAATTAAACTCCATTATGGTTGGCCACTTGGAGTTACAAAAGAAACAAGATGAGGAGACAAACACAGAGGTGAAGAAGGGATGGGAAGGAGTAAAGCAACAAGTGCTAAGATGAAACTTAGGTCTTTGCCTGTCTGCAAGGAACTGCACTTAAAAAAACAGAACTACAGGAATAGTGCCTAATACATGAAACTAACTGCATGTCCTTTATGTCTCTTGGTGCTTGTGTGTTTCAGAACTACATCTACAAAGGTAATTTTTAAAGCCATTTGCACACACGATTAAAAGAGAGTACCCTGGTACCAACAACGAAGCAGAGGATAAGCTCTGTCCATGAACCCATTAGGAGAGGTATCCTGTGTTCAAGAAAGGTGCACTTCCAGATGCCCTGAGTAAACAGTGGTCATTCATACAAAACAAATCACTGAAAGATACAAAGTGAAAGCCAAGACCAACAGTACTTTGAATTGGTTGAGTAGCAGTTAAAATAATTTCTGATTCATTGTATGAAAGATGGAATTTTTGTTTTTGAAAAGTTTGGGTAAAGAGGAAGAAAATTTGAGAGATCAAAATAATTAAAAATTGGAGGATTCATATTAATACCAGGATTTAAGTTAGATCACCAGTGTGAAAACAGTGATTAAGTGGGGGGGAGGGGAAATCACAAAATAAGCGATTCAATCTAGAGCACCAGAGTTGAAAACACAAGGATAGTTCTGTAGAGATGATTGATTTCATTGTGTCTACCTTTAGAGCTGCTGGAATGGATGAAACTCGGTTTGTTTGATGGGGGTGGGGGCTGGGTTTTTTTGGCAGTAGTACTGTTGGCATTGACTGGAGATGACTGGAATGAGTTGGAAAGAAAGATGCCATCTGAAACTGGGCGAGGCTGGCGGGAGGGCTGCTGTTGCTTAAGGGTGGCAGGAGGAAAGTCACCATAAGATTTTCTTGTGCTGGAGTACTTATCCTGACCTGCTAGATTGGAATCCTCCTCCTCCTCATCATCATCATTGTATGCAACAAACTTGGCAGTATAAATCGTGTCAGGGGAGAGGACCTGTGTTTTGAGGTAAGAGGTGTTTCGCTGAGGTGGGGGAGGAGGAGCGTTAGATGAAGGGGTTGGGGATGGGAGTTCATATTCCCGTGGAAGTGGAGGTCTGTACAGACCAGGCTCATCAGGTTCCAGCAATCTTCGTTCAGCTTCATCATGCTGCCTGCGCCTTTCAGCCTCTAAGCGACTGTAATATTCCTCTTCCTGTCGCCTCTGTAAGCCCAGAGGAAACAGAAACACACTGGTCAGACATTTCAGTCTAAGAAGGATTTCAGCTTTCCATCACTGAGCTACAAACATCTCATGTAAATATTTTTTTTTTTTTTGGTCTCCTTTTCTGGCAGTGAACAAAGAAGGACATCTATATGGATTCGTATAAAGAATATTTACTACTATGAAAAAAACTGGCACTCATGCCTGTGGTCACTAAGGCAACTGCCTGTGTGAACTAAGGGCAATTACAGCATTTATTACTCAAAACGTAACTACAGTTAATAAGGTGCAGATTTACTACAGCTGTAAAGAATCTGTGGGAGAGGAAAATAACTAAAATTAACTACCATCTTAAAAAAGGAACTTTGTAATTTTGCTTCATGCTTATACAATGTAAGTTAATCAACAGAGCCTTGGAATAGATGACTCCTGACAACACTTCTGATATAAATACCAGGAAAACTACTTTCATGCAGAAAGCAAATTACAAAGAACTTTTCCAAAACAGACATCAAATGAATGTTTTAAAAAAACGTTTGTAACAGAAACTATGCTAATGATATTTATAAAAGGCTATGACCATTTAGAAGGCCATGAAATATCTTTTTTGTATTTTTTGACTTTAAAAGTTTATTCTTTAACTAAATAACATTTAACTTTATTCAGCTCTTGTCTAAGACACACGGTAAATTAATACAAGAGTTTATTCAGTAGTTCAGTAACGAATGAAAATGTGTATTTGGGAACTGTATGTTACCAAACCCTTTGTGTATAAGCATAGTAAGCTTCTGCTGGGAATATATGACATTTTGAACAACCACCATATTTTTAATCCACATGTTTAAAGAAATCCACCTTATCTGCTTATCTGTCCACTACTGAGTCAGTTATCCTGAAAAAGATCATAAATCTGGTCTTGTTCATGTAGAGTAAAGAATGAAACTCATCCTCTTGTACTATTCTCTAAAACCATTGTACTGATGGTAGGTACCAAGTTCCAAGTTTGTAAATGTGTAAATATCTCACGCAAGATCTGTCAGTGAAAACCCTTTCAAGTGTGTGATCAAAATGTCATTTGCATGCATTATCATCAGAAATTAAGAAAGCCTTGGTTGTTTTTTCTTGGTTGCCTTTTTTTTTAAGCTTCCTACAGTATACTTCTAAATACTTTTCTCAGTCCAGATACACCTTCCTCACTTCTCATCCATTTGCAACCAAAGCTTAGCTCTCTTCTACTCATCAACCCATGCTGCTTATGAGAAACAATTTAACAAAGCATGAAAATAATGTAACAAAAAAAATTAATAAAGTTAATACATCTAAGGTTGGTCACTGGGGTTTTTTAAAATATATTTGCTCAATCTTCCAAGATGACCACCAACACTACAAGATAGCTTTTTTCTTCTTTCTGAAGTCAGTGTTACTAACAGGCAATCTGAAGAGAAGTAACTGCTCATTCTATAGGAACAAGAGGATCTTAAACATGCTAAAAGCCAAATGAACTGCTTCGTCTTCTAGTTTTGATCAATAAAGCTTCTCATGTATAATGTTCTGAAGAAACCAACAATCCTGAACTTTTACAATCTGTTTGACTGCACAGTGACTTATCTGCTGAAATTATTTATTTGCTTTCTAGAAATTAATTCTCTTCCTCCAATAGTTCAAACATAAAAACAATTTGGAATACTCATTACCACTCCACTGTATTTCATATTTCTCTTTGTATTTTAAAAATACTGAAAAAATATTTAAGTCCCCTCTCTGAGGTATAGCAAAATCCAATACCACTAACTCATCCATTATATTAAAGAAGGTACACAAGTCATGCTGGGGGACTGAAGGAAAACAGGAGGGAGCTGACTTCTTCCATAACTTTCAGAAAGGCTATGAAGGCAAGTCCTTGCCACTGCTAAAAACCTTCGGACGATAAGCCTACTACCGCAATACCAGTCAACTCCAGCCAGCAGGAACGGGCTATTAATTTAATTACTTCTTGGTTTATACTGGAAAAAAGGAAGCCTTGGGTCACTGGGCTACTGTGTTTAACCCCTGATGACCCAACACTGAGCTGTCCCTGGCTAGGAAGAGAAAAGGCCTGCAAGAATCCCTGCAGCACTTGGAATACCACAACCTTTTCTTCAGCCTCTCTCCTGGTCCGCTCCTCCTCTTGCTGTCGTCGCTCTTCTTCCTGCCTGGCCCTGTCTTCTGCTTCTCGTTTCCTCATTTCTTCCAATTGCTGCTGCCGTCTGCGTTCTTCATCCTGTAACTAACAGAGACACATCTTTAATTTTTTGCCACTCATGTGAGCAAGATGAGTCAAAAAAATGTAACCAAGTACTGGCATCTAAAAATAACTCATTCAGTAGAAAGTGGTATACTACAGATTTCCAGCTGTTAAGAGTATGCTTTGTTACATTCATTTTCCTAAAATCCCTAAGGAAAAAGAAAAAAAAAAAGACAGAGGTACACAGAAGTAAATACATAAAAGCACAATGTACACAGGGAGACATTTATATATATGGACCCCTAGCAAAAGACTGAGGTGACTCACGTTCCAGACAGCTTCAGCAACCATAGTCTCATAGGTACAGTAAAGTGAAATTAAATACTTGGAACCAACAGTCCATAGCTCCAGCAGTCAATTGTTTTTTTCATTATGGATTAGTATTTAAGTACCGGAAAATCATGACTCATTAGTCAAAGGATCAATCCATTTAAAGTAACAGGCTCATTCAACAAGTCTGCAAAGAGTCTCAGGAGATAAATAAAATCTCCCACTGTATCTGCAGCAGATGTGTTTTGGAAAAAGCAGAGAACAAGGGAAAGAAAACTTTGACTACTGAGATTAAACAGCTCACATGGACAACTGATGTCCAACAGACAATACTAGTTTATATATGCTCATGATACTGAACTGACAAGAAAACTGAGCAACAATCCAAACTCTGCATGATTCTTTAAAGCTAACAGCATCTAAGCCCTTCATGTACAGGAATATTCACTGGCACAATACTCACAAGTAGAAATTAACTGCATGTTAAACTAACTGGATGTTAACTAAAAAATGCTGTGTTATTTCTCACTGGAGCTATGTTTTAAAGAGATTTTTTTTTCTTCCACACAAGATTTTTTTATACTGATTGGTATAAATCAGTAAATCACTGGATCTTGCTAAAACCTGCATATAGCAAGGGTACTTTTCTACTCCTGGATTTGTTTTTACAGTCCAGCTTCACTTACAAAGACCCTTAAGATACAAAGCAATAATGATATAGTAAAATAATTTAGTTTTAATAGACTTTGTGAGGACAACCTTCATGTAAGTATCCCCCCAATTAATTAATGGGAAATGTCCTTTAAAGCAGAATAGATTCTTAATCAATTTTCCAATCAATTCTGAAAAGGTCTAAATATTTTTAATAATTTTCTTGTAATTATTTCCCCCCATTGCTCATTTTTGAGCATGAAAGCTAGCGAACAAAATGAATTAATTTCATTTAGGCAGTTATTTGGTGAATGTATACTAGAGGATGCCACCTCCAAGTAAATTTCACTTATTTAGGGCTAAAACTGTCATTCCTAACTAAAAACACATACAGATAGAGACCAAGATCAATTTGTACTGCAGAGCAGGGAACATAGTAGTTAACTGACTCCCTGCTTGGATTTAGACTTCTCTTTGTCTTGGTTATTAAAAAAACATTATTTTAGCAAAGGAGATAATATTGCTGTCAAAAGGAAAGACAGCTAATAATTCACAAGAGTTTATACAAGATGAGTAATTTCCTCTTAAAATCAAAAAAGGGCAAGTAAAAACTGCATGATGAGAAAACACAGGAAAATTCCTTGACCCTATCTCAACTGCATTTAGAAAATACCATGAAAATGGCAGTTACTGCTCCCAGGTTATTGTATGCATGCCTTTTTGCTTAGTAGCAAATATTCCTATTCATATGCTCTTAAACAAGAAAATATTTCCAAGTAAATTAAAGGGAAAGTAGGACTGGTTTGTTTAATTGTCTTGTGACCTTAACTGAAGAAATAAGGCAGCTTGGGCAGGCTGCCCCCCTGGGAACTGTTGTCAACATCTGAGTCATAATAACTGCGAAGACAACTGTATCCAAGTTGGAGGCTATTCTAAACGCAATACCTAGTAAAATAACTAAAAACTCTATGTAAGGCACAAGCAAGAATACAGCAACTATCAAGAGATGACATTTCATTTCTTTATGATCAGTAACTAGTTTCTACTTTGGGGCATTCTCAGACCAAGGCAGGGAGCAGTGGGACGATAAGGCATGCCAGAGCACTTGCGGGCATTCGTGTCTGTCATTGCGTGCATACCACAGTACCCAGTTCTAACTTCATCCCAAATTTTCAAGACACGAAGCTTTGTTTCCCGCTTCTACTAAGAGGACTATTAGATTCCCAGGTCGAGTATTTCGATTTCATGCTTCTTTATCCCGATTAGTTATTCTCGTTTAAAAGTCATGTTTTCATGTGATTTACTGATTTTGGATTTTCTCCAAAGCTGCACATGCTTATGTTTTAACAGGTAACAACTGATCTGTAGTGCCAGTGTGAAGGAGAAGAATGTTCTGCCACCTGTAACTGAGCAAAGCAGCTGAGTACAAAGCACCAATTCTTTTCCCCTGCTTTTTCCCAGCTCTACAGCAAAGTGCCAACAGTTCCATCAGCTGTCCTCCTATTGCCAACATATGCTCGAAGCACTTTTCCTACCTAGAAGGGCAAAGATGACCACCTTTCCCCTGAGCTATTGCTCCTTGTAAAAGGGCCAGTGGGCTGATCCCTATCAGGAATGTTAAGATATTCACAGGACTAGCTGGCATCCAGGAAGTCTCAGATTTCAGATAAAGTTCATTTCTCTAAGCACTGCTTAGAACACTCTGAAAGATGTTCCAGAAGAACTTTAAATTTATACCTATTTATTTATGACAACTAAAGCTGGGTCAGATCTGATAGGGGCCTGGGGAATTTAAAAAACAAACACTAGGCCAAGCTGACAATTCATCAATTCATGCATTAACTGTTCATCACCTTTCATCAGCCCTGTAATTAGCAGAACAGCTAACACCAATGCTCACATTAGACATACATAAAAAGCATTAAGCATGGGAAAGCTTTTTTTTTTTAAGAAACAAAGTAGTAATTACTTGGGTACATGAAGTGGCATAGTTGAGATGCATTTATGTCTGGAAAGTCATATGAATAGTATGAAAAAGGTGAAAATAGGAAAAAGCAGTATTTGCTGGGTGTAGCGTTTAACATCACCTATTTCAGAATTAGCTTGCTGTCTTTTTTTAAAGCTAAATTTTTAAAGCTAAATCCAATGAACATGGTAAATTATTGACTGATTCAGGCCATGGATCCATCTAGCACAGTATTCTGTCTCTGACCATGGCAAGAAGAGCTGTACGTGAGCCTGTCCACTTCTTTTAGTATCTCCCTAGCATTCAGCACAGTACCAGAGACGTCAGCTGGTACAGCCTTGTGTAATCCTTGAAGTAGCTGTTTACAGGCGTGATGTGTATGAATTTGTCTAATCCATTTTTAAAGCTGATGATACTGTCTGCCTTCACAACCTCCCTTCACAGACAGATCCAGAAGTTTACATTCTGCTTGGCAAAATGCTTTATCTAGACAGTTGCAGCTCCAGGGACCAAGGTTTCAGAAAAAAAATACAGGAGTAGAAATAAGAAAAAATACTGATAGATACTAAGTCTGAAAAAAACATGACTCCTAGCTTGTCCATTAATTCAGAAAGCTGGCGTATTTCACCTTTTTCATTGATGTAAACTGCTTAACGCTCACGAACCTCAGATACAAAACTGAACACCTTAGATTTATAAGTGTATCAATTTATAAGTTACCTGAAGTATGCATTTTAAAAGGTGATTTTGTTTTTCATAAAGCAGTGCCAAATATGCAAATCTGTGTTTTGAACCAACACATTTACAGTTTTTTGAAGCAGCACAAAGTAATTATACTAACAAGAGCTGCACACATCACCTTTCTTTCAAACAGGTAGACTACTTATATAGAAATACACTTTGAAGGGCATGTACTTCTCTAGAAGACTACAGAACTTCTTTTCCATGTACCCATGTCCAATGAGAGCAAAAAAATACAGAACTAGCTGGAGTCATAGCAATTACTTCTCCAGTTTGAAAGCCAGTTATGTTTTAGATGCAAGAAAATAGTAGTAACCAATTTAAACTGAAATTATATCATTACTGAATAACTGCATGTTTATGTAACCTACTTGGAAATACTAGTTCAGAAGTAATTTCTGAGTTTACAAATAATTTTTATGTTAATGACAAAACTGTAACACCTGTAAGCATTTCAGCACATTTCAGCATGTGCTGAAGCGGTATGCTGTATTTTTAGGCTCTCAAGACAATTTCACTTCAAATTGGAAAGGAATGGTGTTCCTAGAGCTCCTCTAAAACCTTCATGGGTGGTAAAGGGAAAGGAAGAAATCTTACCTCACAGCCTGTTCATTCAAAGTTATTAGTAAGATTTTATAAACACGATTGCACAAAACAGCAGATACATAGTTTTATATTAGACCACTGCTACAACAAACAAATCAAGTTTGCAAGCAGAGCACAACATCTAAAAGGAAGGAAACACAGGGAAAGGAGTCACCACATCTGAAAACATTCAAATGCATGCTTGCAGTTAACTTACTGCTTACTGTATCACAATGATTTTTGAACACCCAGAGATGCCAAATCATCATCCGAAGCACATAGAGTGTTTATTAACAATATAAGGAATTGAAATGGCAAAGAGATATTGAAGAGAAAGAAACAAACATACCAAATCTAGAACAGAGATTGCTGGCACTGCAGTCTGCTGCAGGTAGTAAGAAAGGGGGAAAAAAAGAGAGATGCACAGTGAAAATAAAGATAGGTTCGACTTGCACTATTTCAAAAGCATTTTCTTTTATTTGTTTAGTCAGCTGCTTTAGAACAAGGAACTGAATTGACATAATCCTGAAATACAGAAATGAAAACAAATAATCCCAAATTTTTATTAGTATTGCTTTGACTCATTCAACACCTCAGTAGTTCTCCAGAGATACTACGTATTGCATCTCTAGTAGTGAAATGTAACCAAAATCAAACATTAATTCAGTTCAAGACAACTGTTATTTTTTAGTTTCAAAATGTTCCAAAAAGCTGGAAGAACTTTATGCAAAACTAGTGTTTTAAATCCAGCACTTATAGAGAGGACTGATAGCAAGTTATGCAGTACAATTGGCTTTCTTTTAATGACACATGGCTTTCTTAGCCTTGCTACAGTAAAATTTTCAAGACAGTTTGTTAAAATGGCAGTTCAGCTTGAATTTTTTATGTGCATAGGTAACTGCCTGTGTGCTACAAATTACATGTTAGTGATGCTGGGCTTTAATGCAACCAGTTTGCCAAATATAGATTTCGCTTTTCCTTTCTTCAGTTTCCAAGTTTGAGGTATCTATTGTTTCACACAATAATAAAGTTAGCCACAAGAAAAAAAGGAAAGCAATGCAGACTGCAGCAAATATGAGAAGAGTAAGTTTAGGAAATCAAGCTGCCAAAACAATCCTGAACTCAAATACTACTCAAGCCGCTAGCTATTTCTGAATGTAAAAACAAGCATGTCCAAACATTTCTCAAGAATTAAACATTGCTTATCACAGAATTAAGTCAACTTTTCAAGACAAACACACAGAAGACACTCAACATATTACAGAGCTAGTTTTTAAGCCTGGCAAAGCATAGCTATTGGTATGTAACTTGAGTACCCATGCTATTATTCAGAAAAGAACAGATTTTCCGACAGAAACTTTTTCTCATTAACAGTAGTAGATTTAGCAGATTCCGAGAGACAACAGTCACCAGCAGAGTGATTAAAAACTTCATCATACTATTCAGTTGTATTATCTTTTTACATATGAGCTTCCACAGAACTGAAGCTAAAGTAAGCAAACCTTGTCCGATGCTGATCAAACAAGACACCATGCAAAATCCAGGTATGTATGAGTTGGAGCCCTAGACAGGGTCTATTAGTTGTTACAACACCCAAAACCACATGGTTCAACCCAATAGCTTCCCACTGCCGGGGTCAGCACTGAGGTGGTGGTAAAGGTAGAGGTAACAGCTTCCTTTACTTGGAGCAGACCAGCAACTTGGAATCGCCATTCAGTTCACGATTCCCTGGAAGCACTCATGTCATGTACTCACGTCCAAGACTATAAAGAAAAACTCTTGGGAGTAAATATACTGGGGGTGGGGGGAGGGAGGGAGAAATCACATTATTTTTGTTCCTCATTCTCCTACTGACTTTCAAAATTTCAAATGTTTTTGCATACCTTTCTGTAAGCAAATTTCTGCCATATTTTACCTTTTAATCATACTCCAGGTACATGGCAAAATCCCTTTATCCAAAGGGAATTTCTTTCCCCATAACCAGAAAAGTAAATTCAATTGCTAAATATTCAATTGCTAAATCTATAAAAGGTAGCTTTGATACTTTTATAATACATCATTTAACTGGTGAAGCCACTCTAAGTTATTAGTTTTAAAATTCAAGATATTTAAGAAAGCCTCATCCTCCTTTACCCTTTAAGAACATCAAAGTACTAAGCCAAAGCATGAAAACCCACCAAGCTAGATATTTACAATACTTTTGTCTAGAAAGGATTATCCCCTTTTACCCTTGCTCTTCTTTCTGCCTCCAGTCGCTGCATGATGAGCATAGTATCCACATCATCATCCTCCTCTTCATCATCATCTTCATCTTTTTGCTTCGATTCTTGAAGTCGCTTTTGGAACTGCCACTCAAGCATGAGTTTACGGAGGCGGTCATTTTCTTCCGCTGTACGATCAGGCTTGTTCTGAAGTTCCTGAATCTCTTTACTCAGCATGTCCACAATGTGCATCTGTTGCTGCTTCTCCAGTTTCTCCTTAGCATCCCGTTTCCAGGGATCTGGAGAGAGGCTGTCACTAGAGGACAGTTCTTCCTTGCTGATAGTAATGTACTGCAGATCTCTCCGCTCAATAGTCCGAGGCTGCTGCTGGGGCTGCAGCTCTCGAATAACTGTTTCTTGAGACCTCTGCAAAGTTGAAGGTTTTTCTGATTTCACTTGCTGAAGGGGAACAGGAGGAACCACAGGCTGAGCAGGAATTAGTGGCTGAGAACGCATTTGGCCCAGTTTTCTCTCCTGCTCACGACGTTTCCTTTCTCGTTCTTCTTCCAAACGCGCCTTTTCCTTTTCATACCACCTCTGATGTTCTTCTCTTTTTTTACGCTCAGCAGCAGCTACCTGAGAGGATGCTTGTGCTCCTATCTGGTTTGGAGGAGGAGGGGGAGGCAGAGGCAAATCCATTTGTAGTTCATCAAATTCGGCTGCATAATGCACTGGAGGAGGTGGTGGTGGAGGGGGAAGATCTGTTCTGATGGGCTGGGAAATGGCCACTGGAGTCGGCTGGCTAGTAGCTGGAGTTTTCCAACGGCCAGGTCCACTTTTAGCTAAACAAGAACCAGGTGAGACTGGTTTGGAGGAATGGTTCAGATGTTCCTGGCTAGATGTGCTGGAATCCACAGATGAATTCATCCACTGATCGCTGTCCGATTTCCGATCAATATATTCCACATCCTTCCGTATAACAACTTCCAAACGACTCCTCTCTGGCTGGAAAACTTTATCTCTGAGCTCCTCCTGGGAACGAGCTACACGCTGAAAAAAATTTAAACAAGGCATGTATATCATAGTCCATCTATAATAAAATGTATTTGAAAATGGCTTACAAAACACATTCTTATTACTGGAGGTAATTACTTTTCAGCATTTCCATGCCCAGTAAGTTTCCCAAAACCAACAATAAAATACTCTTCTCAGTCTTCCTAACTCATTTGTGTGATGGAAGACTTAACAAGCTCCAAAATGCCTGGGAACTGGACTAGGAGGAAGGATGAATGCAAAATGGAGTTTAAGCTGAAAACCTCCCCAGCTCACACAATTTCTCAGGACTATCCCTGACATGCCCTCCCCCACATGTGAGTACAAGAGTCCTGGCAGCTCTGAGCAGCAGCTCAGGCATACCAGCTCTGCCATTCAGGCTTCAGCTGGCTTGACTGAACATCTTTCCTATTGGGAAGGCAAACAAGAGAGGCTGCTGAGAGAGAGAAAGGGAGCCTCTGCCCACCCTCCTCCATTAACAGGCGAGATGACCCGCAGGAAGCTCTCATTACTACAGCACCATTCAGGGTACGGAATCCGGGCAGGCAGCTCTGATTCTACCTGCTCCTGAGGCATGGCTGTATTGGTCTGACATTTTGTTGCTTTTTTAGTGTGTCAAACACCAAGCCTTTTTCTATACAAACTCAGGGTCTCATTGCACTCTACAACCACCTGAAAAGGAACACTGGACCGTAAATTAGGCTTATCAAATCTGTTAATTATTTTCTTGCAGTAAATATTCCTAGTTTGAATGTTAGGAACTACTAAGCACTGAACACATAATGCACCAATTATCAACAACTGAGAGAAGACTAACAAAGCAAACTCCTTTTCTTTTTCCTCCATCAATGACCTAAACCATGACCTCTAAAGAATGCCTTCTTTGAGAGGAACAAGTGTATTTTTTATGCTCTATTAGTCCAATAGAGCTGAACACACAGCTATTTGTTTTAGATTTGCTGTAAAGATGCACCTAGCCAAACAGTTTGCTAATGCCTTCAGAGCAGAAAACAAGCATTTAGCAGCTTTTTTTACAAGCCCGGTTCTCACTGCAAAGATTTAAAGCCTAACTTTTTTTAAAAGTCTATTTTCCTCTAATTTTCAACTTAAAAGAACTATTGTATGGCAGGTAAAAACTGTGAACGCTTTCAATGCTTGTAAGGAGATAAAGCTTCTAGCCATTTGCCTTATGAAAATGCTTTTCTGCAATGCATTCAGCCTTAAGACCATAGCTCCAATTCCGTATGAGCCAACAACTTTAACAGATGGGCTTCGTCTCACCAGTTTTAACCACCTCATCTAAGCTATTCACTTCAGCTTGTCTTAAGCAGGGGAGAAATGCATGTCCAGGCAGCAATTATCATAGAATCTGGTTGAGACAAATGGGTAGGAACCATTCTCTGGAGGCAGGAGCCTCCCCCTCTCACACCATTGAGAGAGAGCACCTGGACATTAACTACGCAGGTAAGATTAGGTGAGATGAAATCATGAAACCTGAAAGATTTAAGCGTGGAAGTTCATAAAAATATTTAAGAATCTATTCGCCACAGTCATTTAATATGCAGCATTCTCCTTCAAAATTACCATCCTACCTTGGCTATAACATCTATTTTCTTAACAGCCCAAATAATTAGGATTTGATATCTATAATACTAAACAAACAAACAAAAGCACTAGCTTTTTATTCAATTGACTTTTTACTGAATTCACTCACCCATACATCTATGAGTAATCAATAAGCAACCTCTACTTTGCTTACGTACTTGCAATCTCAAGGTAATTTACAAGAGACTGCTTTTCCAAGAGTAAAACATAATGAGCCTGCTGTAAGGCTGTGCTTTTATTACAAATGAAGAAATAGTGGGGAAAAAAAGAAAAAAAAAAAAGCTTTTTCTCTGTATTTTTAAGCCTCATGGATTAGAGAAAAAGATCATCCAGTAACTGGGATTTAGTAGATCTAGGTTTAATTTCCTGTGTGATTTGAGTGAACTTCTCATTTACAAAGAGTAGAACAACATTATTTTTGAATTTTTAAAGGTACAAATGGGGTAAATCAATTTCACGTCAAGATGCATCTGCACTTTGATAACAGATACAATTGAAATTATATACTTCTTTTTTTTAACTGAGAGCAGGGAATGTGTTTCAGTGAAGACTTTAGACAGGCCTCAAAGTACTGTTTTATTTCAATTTTAATACTTGCCTTTGTCCCTTAAACAACGCACCCTTCAGGCAAAGAGATTTTTCCACATAAAACTTCTTGGAAGAATGGAAGACTTAGGTTGTTTTTCAGAAAACCATAAAACATTTTACAAGACAAACCATACTACCACTTGCACCCCATTACCTCTAGCAGGGGATTAAAACATCCCAGATAACAGGTCTGCAGAACATGTTAACATAAATTCTATGAAAGGAAGAAAAATTTTAAAAAAGCAAAATGAGAAGGAAAAACAAACAACAGAAAAAGGCAGCACAGGCTTCCTGAACCCAAGCCCATCCTGGCAAAAGTATAGTTGTTCCCCTCTTGTAGTATAGTTTCTCCTCAGCAACTCAGAGATCACAGAGAGCTGTCTATTCTGAAAAAATGTCTCTAGTAGTCTGGAAGTGAAAACAAGCAGTTCTTTTCTGGTTTGTTTCTTTATACTGAAAAAAATTACTTCTCACCTGCATGGTAGTGTTGATAGAATGATTGCTCTCTGCCTGGATCTGTGGTTTTTCTTCATAATTTGGCCACTGACTCTGAGCTGGACCCATTCGATCCTGGGACTTGGAAGCTGGGAATGTGAAATATTCTCTAGTATAGGTCTGTGTTGGGATGGGATAAGCTTCAGGTCGTGGTGGCAGAGTCTGTTCCTGAAAAAGGAAGAAAGAATGTAAGGCAGAATTTTCTTATCACATAGATGCGTATGTAAGATTGTTCCAAACATGCATTTCCCAAATGTTTTCTTTTGGCTCATAAGACCATTACTCATCTGGGACAGAAGATAAAGAGGTTGTCTAGTATCAAATGTAACTATGGTTATGACTTATGTTTTTATGGTCTCAAAGCGAGTATGCAATATTGTACAAACCCAAGAAATCACAAGGACAAGTTCAAGAACAAAATTTAATGAAATCACTGAAAGCTGTCCCAACCTTTCGTTAGCTGTAATAAGCAAAACCCCCACCCAGTCACTAGCACCAGGATAGTTAAGACACTGGTTTGACTCAAGCACACTGATGCTATTGATAGCTAAAGGAAGTTTAATAGCCAGCATTTTGCTTTCCACTTCTGACCTCTGTACAAAGATTTCCAGTAGAGACTGAGGTTATTTTGGTGGTAGTTCCAGATGCATAAGCATTCTTTCCCCCAGGGCTTGGAGGCTGATCTGTTGGAAAGTTAAAGGAAGCATTTACGTGACTGTTAATAATAATTCACAGAACTTAATAAAATAACAGTATTCACAAAATAACTATGATTTTTCCTTTAAATAGTTCTAACAAGAAGCTTGCTCCAAATGTTACTACTACACTGGTATTTTAAACTTAATCCACTTTTAAAAACAATCAACCCCCTTTTGAATACGACAGCCTCTGAAATTACTGGTAGTGGCATCTACCCCTAAAAGAAGGATAATCTTTCTTACTTGCTACATTGGGACTGGATCGATGATCAGCTCTGTTCTTCATCAATCTGTCATCCCCTGGCAGCTTCTTTGGTTCGCTGTACTCTGTCCACGGCAGCTGAGGACTCTCAGGTGATCCATTTTGAGTGGAGTTGTTATACAGCTCAAATCCTTCACTCTTTGGTCGGGGTTTACCTGAGCCACGGCGGTCAGAAACTGTAACAGTTGGATATGTATTTTCTCCCTTTCACTTATATTAACTACTGTCTAGCACATTCTTTTTCGAACCAGAGCTACCTTGTGTTTATATTTAAAAATTAGTTCACAGTAAAGTGAATGCTAGATTTTAAAATTTGTACTTCTTCAAATATGCAATCCCAATCTTGTATCAAGTACCATGAGAGGATTTCTTTTATTTTTATTCTTCCAAAGAACTTCTGAAAAGGTATCGCAATATTTGTAAAAGCCAAATGTGCTACGCTGAAAGGTCTCTTTCTGACTGAGGCATATGGCATCTGGGATGCCATATGTAAACTGTGATAATAAGGATTTGTTCTTTTAACCCATTCTTTTCTATACTGTAGTACTACCCTATATGTAGAAAAGGTCTTCCTTGACAAAATTATTTCCTTCACAACATTATTTTATGTCTTTTGTTAGTTCCCTGAAGTAGGATGATAACATGGGAGAAACACTCAAGAACTTCTTATGATCAGACACAGAAACTTATCTCCTTAAGTTTCAACATTTCTAGCTTAAAAAAGAATTAAAAAATAAATCTTAAATGGCAAAATACGTTCCAGGGGCTTCTGTCTCTCTCTTAGTAATTACACTGCACTCTGTGGTTACAAGGAAGTCATATTCTGAGAGGAGGAGAGAAGCTCTTAAGAAAGGGGCAAAAAAAGCCATCAAGTTTAATGTCCTTTGCATTCATTATATTCCATTTGTAAAGTAAAAATTAATTCAAATCAGAAATGTGTTTAAATGCATAATTAAGTTTTAAAAGGTACATGTGCAGAGCATTTATTAACAATTAGACTAGCATAATTTCAAACAATATTTAAAATCAGATGACGTTGTGATAAGAGAGGAAATGTGTTTTTTCCTGTGCAATTATGTTTCTTTTCTGATTTAGTATTATGGTAATACTTGATAAGATACTGTAAATTATTATATTTTCTGCATTCTTACAAATGCAGAAAGCAGACTTACAAAGTTGTTATTAACACAAATAAAATTAGTATATTTACCTCTTTGCATCATTGGGGATGGCTGATTAAGCAGGGTTGCCAGACCATGGTAAATTGCTCCTTGTTTTGCTACTTCTAGTGTTACTACAGAACCTGTCCTTGTCATAAGTTCTGCTGCCCTGCAATAAAAGCCAAAGCAAAGAAAACAAAATAAAATTAGGCACTGCATTACTTAGTTCTCCTTATTATCAGTTTGTATGTCATCATTTCTCCCTTTTATTCTAGTAATCTTTTGTTTGACAAAGCACTCTTTTTCTGATTAATACTTAAAATCACTTTGAAAAAAACTAGAAGATGATGACTAGAAGATATGCACAGAGACAACACCTACTGGTAAGTACTATTTATTCAGCTTCTGCATTAAAGGTCAGAAGCTGAAATATTTAAAATTAGAGCTAAATACGATTGTTCAATCTATACAGACAACCTGTATCATACGCAGAAAACAGTACACAAACACTTGAACTTGTTACTAAGATTATTCACAGGCAGTTATCAAAAGCCAAGATGAAGCCTAAAATGTAAAAAAATGAGCTTCTGCTCATTTCAGTAAGTTATTAATCTAACATTTTCTTCATGTAAAGACAACCAAGGAAAGCATTCTGTACCTTTCCTGGGACAGACCCACCAAACTTCGACCATCCACACTAAGCAACTGATCCCCTGCAGCCAGACGACCATCCTAAATACACATTCAAGAGAAGAAAATTCATACACCAATGCTAACATGGTTGAAATTAAAACAGTTATTCACACATACTAGTAAACAAAGGATTTTAAAGCATTTCCAAAGGATCTTTCTACCTTTGAACATCTGACTTTTAAGAGTATTACTAACCACATCTGCAGCGCCTCCTTTGACAACAGACTTGACATATATTCCAAGTTTGTCTTGACCAGCACCCTACAGAGAAAGAAGCATTAATTTATTTAATTTGTACTTGATCTCTTAAGCATTCCACAAGTGTTACTCAGAAATTTTACATGTCTAAGTAAACCTCTACCTTTTCACTACTTTTATATATTTCCAAACTGGAAAAAAATCCCAACTATACAGAGAAGAGTTACATTCATTTAAAGTCACAAGAAAAATTTAATATTAGGCCTATTAAAATGGTAAGCTTTGTTAGAAACAAAGAATACTTGGTCTTAATGCAAGTTTAAATAAGAAAAAAAATACCTCAGCTAAAACTTATACTTAAAAAGTTTGTTCTAATCCCCTTCTAATAAGAAATACTTATTTGCACTTTTACATGCATGTTATTATTTATACCTCTTTGTATTATGTTTCAAAAGAGTGAACTGTTTCTCTTGCTAATAACCCAATGAAACAAGGTAAATTGCAGATTACAAGAAAAAGGACTAGAAATATTTTTTACGTTCAGTAGGACTGTAAAGGAGCTAGTGTAAAGGAACAAAGAGTGCCTCTAGCTTTACATAAACAAGTAAAGCAGACATAATAAGTATTTTAGAATTGACAGAGCCAATATTTAAGTCTACTGCAAAACCATGCGACTTTGCTCATAAAACACCTTCCTCATAAGTATTCTGCTAAATTTTGAAAGGACTGTTAACAGTGAACTTATTGCAAGACAACCAACAGATTCAAGACACAAGAACATAAGCATCTATTCAAGCCATGCTGTTGCGTCATCCACATGCTCCAATGTACAAGACACCACACAAATCAGTCTAACTGTTAGTATCACAAACCTTTAAATTGTCACTTACATTGTAAGACTATCATTTGTGTGTTCATTATCTACTGTAGCAAATGATGCTGTTTTACTCTGCAAGTCACTTAGAAGAGTGCTAAGTACATTTTCAAAAGAGCAGTCTTAATTGTAACATTTTTCTAGAATAATCCCTCAAGTTGCTTTGATATTGAATATACAGCTTCCTCTTTTCTCTCCCCCCTGCTTTTCCAACTCTTTCCTTTTGGCAGCAAAAGCATTCATTACTCTCACTGTTATAATGAAGTAAAATAAGAATCAAGGTGAAGATTACTCAAAAGCTAGTGTTATACATACAGTTTTCTAAGCAAGTGAAAGACCTATTTTTATTCCTTAAATCCTGAGTTAATCCCAAATGTTTACACAAAAGGCAGAGAAAAGGAATTCCTTTAAGTCTCATGATTCCAGATTAACATTCTACGTGCCCAAATATTTCATAATTGCTTAAGTCATACTTATGGATAAAAAGGGAAAAATTGCAAAAAGTAACTGAAATAAGGGCACTTCATTTGTCTAGAAAGAATATAAAGGCAACTAAAATAATTTAGTTACTTTTTGTTTGTTTTTTTCTAAAGGGCTCTAAAGAAATATCACAGTAACTGCAGAATAGTTTTAACTTTATACCAGAAAAATTGGTTAAAGTTATGAGAAACAAGTCAGAAGACAGCTAAATAACTGTAATGAAAAATTAAACTATGCTTCACAAATACTTCCCCCCCCAAGCAACCAAGACACACATAGGGAAGGATGATCTGGTTGACAGAACAACTAGACTTCCAAAAATGGACGTTGCAAGATGTCTTAGCAGAATTTCTTCAAGACTTTAAGGTGACATGCAAGAAGGAACTTGTCCTTGTATTTTAGTAACTGGTTTGGTAACGGATAGAAAGTTGTTAGTTTTCACAAGGAATGGAAGTTTTCAGAGAAGCCCTAAATGACTGTGCTGTTCACCATGCTTTCCAGAAAAAAGGGCAAGAAATAATGTAACTAAATGTATCAAATATAACTTTGATCAAGTAAGTCAAAACCAAGAGTTGGAGAAGGATCACATGATGCTGAACACTGAAGCCATAACAGGGTGAAAATGTATTTCACTGCTCCAAATATGAAGTAATGCTCCAACCTTCTAAGGTACTGGTCCCCATCAAGGCACTGTCGGCAGAATCAGTCAGCAACTTCCCTTGTTGGGAACTGAAAATTAAATTATAGGGTTTATATGCTCCTTCCTCTGCCTCCAACAACTAAATACCTAAAGGCAAGCTCCTTGACTTCCAAAGGGCAAAACAGTCAACAGCAACTCGCCCACCCACCCATCCTTGTAGTTACAACCTCCTGTCATTGCAGGGACCAAATGGCAGCTTTTCTTGGAGGCCACATTGACCATGAGTAACCAGACACCTCTAAAGACATCTGGGATTGACAGCACTTTTATTCCTTCCTAACTTCAAAAGATGCTAGCAAGAATCTTATCCCCTTGGGTCCAGAAATTCAGACAACAATCTGCCTAATATAAAGATTAGGTACAAACAAGCAAGCCTTTGGAAGAGCATTGCCTCTTACAACAGCACACATATTAATCAAGCAACTTTGGGGTTCTGACTCCAGTATTCGGGTATTACATTAGATGCTATTTCCATCCATACATATCACCTTTCTCATGCTTGATTATGGCTGTTAGTGCACATTAAATGAAGCTGAAAACTTCTCTATAAGCCCATGATATGTGCATTGGTTTGCAGATAGTGATGACATAAACATTTTCAATTGCACAAATATCCATATAGTAGTTTCTGAACTGGATTTATCTCCTTGAGAAAGATCCTTCTAATGACTATTTTCAGAGCCATCTTACATCAGCTCAAAAATCTGGAAGCCAAGAGAACTAAGAGAACAGAACAGACAAATCAGAAACCATCCCAGCCAGTAAAAAATCTACATTTACAAAACTGTTTGGAATTCTGGTTACTTCCTTACAAAACAACACCAACAGAACCATGAGGCTCAGAGGATAACAAGGATGATCAGAAACAGGGGATAGCTTTCTTGGGAGAATCAACTAAACAGACATGGACTCCTCAGCTCAGCAAAAATCAAGGAAGTGAAGGTCAACAGGAATGTGTGTTGCAGTGACAGGATTATTTATAATCTCTAATCAGCCAACAAAAAAATGCTTTCTTACTTCTGTTATCATGTCTAGCATATTTTAAATAGTAAAACACAAACCCAAAACCAAACAAAACAGAACAAGAAAAACTCCACCCAAACATTTTCCATAGGATTTCATAATTAAATTGGAAACATCCAGAAACAAGACTGCTGTAGATGTCAAAGTGTAAACAGAATCACAGATTCATGGTAGGGCTCTCTGAGGCCTTTGGAAAAATATCCAAACAACAAACTCTCCAAAACAGATTATAATGCAATCTCAAAGAAATTCTGAAATTACAGAAAGCTAGAAACCAGGAGGAACCACAGAATCATAGAATGGGTTGGGTTGGAAGGGGCCTTAAAGATCATCTAGCTCCAATCCCCCTGCCATGGGCAGGGATACCTTCTACTAGACCAGGTTGCTCAAACCCCATCCAACCTGGCCTTGAAACTTCCAGGGATGGGGCATCTACCACTTATCTGAGTAACCAGTTCCAGTTCCTCATCACCCTCAAAAGAATTTCTTCCTAATAACTAATCTAAATTTACTTTCAGTTTAAACCCACTCCCTGTTGTCCTATCACTACATGTACTTCTGCAGAGTCCCTCTGCAGCCCTCTGGCAGGCCCCCTTTACGTACTGGAAGGCCACAATTAGGTCAGCTCAGGACTCTCTCTTCTGGGTGAACAATCCCAATTCTCTCAGCCTTTCCTCATAGGAGAAGTACATCTTACACTTGTTTTGTTATGTTCTTTGTCTAAATATCCCACAGTTGGAAGATACCATATCACTCAGACTTTTGCTCTAACTGCTCCTATACTCTAAGCCTGACAGTAATTCTTCATTATGATTTGGAATTGACATTTTACTTCTCCTTCCTTTTTTTTCCATATTTTCATGAAGTCTATACAGTTTGTCAATCTTTTCCTGTTCTTTTAAGGGAAGTTATGAGCAGATGTGTTAGCTCCAAATCATCTCACAAATACAAAACTAATGAATTTTGAATGCATAAAAATTATTTTAAAAAACCCACATTTTTGTTCAAATTACATTTAAAAAATCTTAATCAGCTACCACATCTACTTACATATTATTAGGACCAATGAATTTTTTCTCTGTCTAATTCACATGTCACTTGATATGTTTCTACCAACATGCATGTGCTTTCACATGCTTGGGAAGACTTCTCATGAGTATCCTTAAAATTAACTCATCATCTTCCTTCAACTTTTACCCTAACCTTTATAGTCATTTGAATCCAAATTCTTAATTTCTGTTGAAACAGACCCAATTTTGCTTTGGTTCCACCTTCCAGGAGACTGCATTAGAAGGAAATATATAATTATTAGGGACACAAAAAGGTTGTTGATATGTAGTTAGTCACACATACTAAACTCCAAAGTGAATAAAATTCTCATACATGCCATATGAATTTTTCTGTTCTCATTTACTGATGTTAAAATAAAACAGTTTTTTTTATAAACTACTTATTAACCTGCTTTTCTATCAAAGGAATGTGAAGGTCAACATAATTAAAACTATTCCCCCACAAACAAAACAGAGAAATGACATGTGTATATCAGTAACAATAATATGATATTCTTTGCACTTCACTGTATTTTCTCAAATTCTGAATACCAAAAGCACATGCATCCATAAAGCTGTTAGTCCAAACAGAAGAACATAACTGAAGTTAGATGACTGTGAAAAGCAAGACTCTAGTAAGCTTAAAATGATGGCTTATTCTGTCCCCCCAAGATTAACATAGTGAAATCTACAGCATATTTTATCAAATATACATAAACAAATATAAAATCTCCAAAACCTTTACATGTATTTTTCAAAAAATAATGTAGTGTATTCTAGATTTTAAAAAAAAGCTTCATCCACAGTAGTAAACTTTTTTACCAATCTATCTGTTTTCTTTCACAATTTGATGCAACTTTTTCCCACAGTCCTTGCAGAAAGTGAAACAATATACCCTTTTGAGGAAAAATTTGGGAAATCCTTCCCCTGAAGTAAT